TTATTTAGTCCCCTAGACTTGTTTGTTTTTTTTTTAATATTAATATAGACTTTCCTACAGATTTATTATAATATGTATTATATAGATTAATTATATTAAACTATACCACAGATATTCATAAAAATGGAAAATTTAAATGATGAGAGAAAGAATGAGTTGAAAATCTGCAAAAAATCAAGAGCAAACCACTAAAGCATTGTTTTGTGTATAAACTATATACTCTAGAAACTGATAAACTTTTCAATTAAATATTATTGTTACTAAAACTTCATGTCAGTGTTAACTAACGACATCCTGGTGAGCATCTATCACTTTCTTGGCAACCATTACGATGTTAACTCCAGCAGAAAAGAGAGCTGAGAGTTAATAAAAATAACAACCTAATGTAAATCATTTCTATACCCCTTTTTACGTCACCCTTCACACGGCATAATTTCTCCGTACACTCACAATGTAATGAAACGACTGGAACGTCAGCGCGCGTGTGTGTAACGGCCCTAATAAAATTCCAACGGGCGTTATCAAAGCTTGCTCGAACGTTACGACTCGGGACTTGTCCAATAAAGTGTCGCTATTTTGATATTTCAGGCAATTCGTATTATTTTGATGTACTACTTTATATGTTATTGCAATTGATTTACTTCAGAGCTTTAGAATTGTAGATTGTTAAGAAAAGTATAAACGCATCAAAACATTTTCTCTAAAAATACCATATCTGGGTAATTTTTACACATGATATCGAATGAGGAGTTTTTTTTGGACACTACTGGACATATTATGCTTTTCCCGTTGTAAGGAGGTTTTTATTTATGACTAACGGTGACAAACGAGCACACAGTTCACCTAATGGTAAGTGGATGCTGTGGACCATAGACCATAGACCATAGAGAGTAAAAAGAGTCTCCGGTTCTCTACACTCATCATACGAAACACAGCAGCATTAAGCTACTATTTTACGCTGGTATTCTGTTAGAGCGTGATCCTACCCAGAAAAAGTCGACCTACTCGTGCTAAATCCATAATATAGCTGCAGCATATCTCCACCATGGTTTGACTTAATCTTCACGCTTCAGACTTCTTATACGGTGTAGCGGTGTAAGTGTAGTGTAGTGACCGTGTAGTAGCGGTGTAAGAACTTTTACTACCCATATCATCCCGTGGGTGCTATAAGAGGTGACTGAGGGAAACAAGGCAAGAGACGAGAAGCAGCATCTTCTTAATCATCATCATCATCATCATCATCATCATTACAGCCCATCACAAGTCTACTGCTGAACATAGGCCTCCCCCAAGGAATGCCACAAAGCACGGTCCTGAGCCACCTGCATCCATCGACTTCCTGCATGTCTTACCAGGGCGTCATTCCATTTAGTGGGGGGGGGGGGTTTGCTTTACACTACGTCTACAGGTGTGAGGCTGCCACTCGAGGACCTTTTTTCCCCATTGGTATCGGTTCTTCGAGCTATATGGCCGGCCCATTGCCACTTCAGCTTACTAATCTAATGGGCTATGTCGATCACTCTGGTTCTACTGCGGATATTCTTATTTCTAAGTTTATCAGAAACCTCGAGCATAGCTCGATCTCCATAGCTCACTGAGCGACCTTGAGCATCTTCATACGACCAGCAGCAAGGGACCACGTCTCAGATCCGTAAGTCATCACTGACAACATGCGCTGGTTGTACAATCTAGTTTTCAGGTTTTGAGGTATACCTGACGAGAAGTTGTGTCGTAATTTCCCAAACGCTGGCCAGCCGAGTTAAATCCATCAATTGACCTCTCGGTTGAAGTTGGACTTACCTAGTTGGACTATTTGTCTGAGGTAAACGTACTCGTCAATAACTTTCGAGCTTAGTTCTCCCAACAACTACCGGCAAAAGTGTGACATTGACATTAAACATGATCTTTGTTTAGTCCATGTTCATCTTAAGTCCTATTCGTTGGGAGACACTATTGAGATCATTAAGCATAGTGCTTAGGTCCTCCAGCGATTCTGTCATAATAACTATCAGCAAATCAAAGGTGAGTAATGTACTCGCCATTGATGTTAATACCGTATCCTTTCCAGTCCAGTAGCTTGAAATGTCTTCCAATGTAGCAGTAAGAGTTTCGGGGATATAACGTTACCTTGTCTTCCACCTCTCTGTAGTTGGATAGGTGTCGTACTGTGATTCTGCACTCGGATAGCCATCGTAGCCCTACTGTACAAACACTTCAGCACCTCGATATACTGACAGTTAACTTGGCACCGCTGAAGGGACCGTTTCTTATAGTCCAAATACGCAAGGCAAAGTGGCAGATTGTACTCTTCTGTCTTCTGTACAATCCGCCGCAAGGTATGTATGTGGTCTATGGTACTGAATCCTTTTCGGAAACCGGCTTATTCGGGAGGTTGAAAGTCGTCGAGTCTGCGTGCGAAGCGATTCGTAATGACTCTCGAAAACTTCACGTAGACGCGGCTCAGAAAAGAAATCGTTCTGTAATTTCTCGGGAAAATTTCTTCAAGAGAGCATGTCGCCTTTCTTGAAGAACAAGACCACTGCACTTCTCCGACGGCTCCACGTCTCCAGATTAGTGTCACCATGGAGGACGGAATTGAAGAGCTTCTGAAGGACTTTAAGTACCAGTGTTCCACACGCTTTTAGAAACTCCGCTGTAATTCGGTAAATTACTCGCCTGGGGCCTTGCCGTTTTTAAGGTGCTGGAGAGCCATTCTAATCTCGCTTATAACAAATAAAAAAAAACTGCGGTGGCAATCCCCGTGCAAAGTGTGGAAACTGTAGCAAATATCTCATCAACTATAATAAGTTCCTATTTCCCCTATGAGGCAAGTTATGGGGAAGCCTATGAATTTTGATAGACTTTAATTTTTTTATACGAAGTAGTGCCAATCTGCAGTGAATTATAGCTGCAGCTTGAATAGGTTGGCTCTAACGGGGAAGGACTACACTGGCACAGAGCCCCGTGTCAAGTAGTAGCATAATGCTGTTGAGTTTCGTTTAGTGAATGAAGAGATCTGATTACCCTTTTTTTTTACCGATCAGAGACATTCCACCATAGTGCTCAATGGTGAGAACGAATTCTGATTCTTTATTGAGGATACATCCTCTATATGGAGGTGTCTATAGACCACCGCATTATCTTATCATCAGGTGGACTTTGTGGTCATTTGTAAAATTTACTTTTATAATCGTTAAATTAGAAAAATTGGTGTATTTTTATACGTGAAATTTTATACGTGGTAGATCCATGCTGCAGCTATATCATGGTTGTACCGAATGGGTCGGCTCGACCGGGGAAGGACCACGTTCTTACAAAATACTAGCGTAAAATAGCAGCGTTGTTTTATATGGTGTCTGTATAGAACCGGAGACTTTTTTACTGGAAAAGAGGCATTCCATATTAGTCAACAGGGGTGACTCATCTGCATTTGGATTCTTAATCGACAATAAATGTAGATGTCTATGGGCCACAGCAAATACTAATTATCATCAGGTGGACTGAACAAACATTTTAACCAATTAATTGAAAGTACTATGACGTTCATGACTTTATAAGCTAACCAAAGATACCTTTGCCTTCCTTGCAGGGGAAAATATTAAAAAAAGTTATACAAACATCAAACAAATACTTAGCGTGGTTTACAGATTTACATATCTGATCGAATTCGACCACAAGCGATATTAGTATGTTACGTACCTATGAATGTTTATAAGAGTTTTCAATTTATTATCAGTTTTCATGTGATCGGCTCTGTATATTATCGTGTATCGGTTCATTTGTATCGCTCGATTGCAATGTTTCGAACGCGCCAACTATCCGAGTGCGGTTTACAGATATGAGAATTGCGCGGGAATCGATGACTACGTAATGTCCGCTCTAAATCTAATCGCCAGATATAGATTGGATTTCCTTTCATAACTTGCGGAAAAATTTCACCAGTTATTGGATTTTATATTTATATCGACTGAACACAAATCGAGAAAATGAACCGAAAATTCAGAAATTCTAATACGTATTTAATAAAAATATTATTTACGAGAAATTTGGTCAAAATCACATATATGATTTCTTGTTTACGCAGTCGTTTTATATTGAATAACACTTTAGCTAAAATAGCACAAAAGTTAAAAGCTTTTAATAAATTTTACTTTTTTGTAGTCCCAATGTTTTGAGTGCTCTACATCACGCATGGTCACAGAAAAATTTAGATACTTTAATATCTCCTTTTTTCTGAATAGCACTGTTTTTTGTTTTGATTCAAGAATTTGGCTGGTATTTAATTATATTTATTCAATCGTTGGTGCGTCTGTTATTAATCCTGTAACTTCTGGACTTGACCGATGGAGGTCACGTTCACAAAAATATTTTTTGTCGAGACGATAGTTGGTAGATACACTAGGTTTCGATAGGTGGCGCCGTGTTCATATATATACGGTAAAAAAATTACGTAGTGAACGTATTATAATCAAGTTTCTGACAAGAAAGTTTATGATCCAAAGGTGACCCAGGACTTTGGATATTGGTAAAGCGAAGTCCACGCTAGCAAAGCCTCAGGGAAAAAGTTAGTGTTCATGTGATAATGTTGTGAAATGTGTAAAAATTATCTCATATTTTTTTAACTTATAAGTAAGAGCTTGATTACAATCCCAACTGTGGTTAGTGGTATGGAAGCCCTAGATGGTAAACCGCACTGACTTAGCCTAAGAAAGTCTATTCACTCTTGTCTTGAAGACGTCCAGATTGCAATCGGACGAAAAGACGACAGAAGGCCCTTCTGATTTTGTACTACGAGTAATAAATTCAAAAGGTTATGTGAATATTTCTTTTATTTTATTTTCGAACTTAAAAAGCTATCCTTTAGATTGTAAAAAAATCATAATGGTGATTATTGTTATGATAGTAAATAGTTATGTGGATACTAAACATCATTATTTTAGTGCATATATTTTATGATTTATTATTCGGTGTATTAAAATAGAGCAATATTTTTGTTTCAGGAAAATACCTGTGGAATTCCTGGTCGGAGGAGTGGGTGGTACTCTATGATGACTCCACGATGGCATGGTTCAAGGTACAAACGAACATTTGCCAAGTTGTTTACTTCACAAACAAATCTAATGAAAATGCTCATTTGTGTTACATTGCCAACAATTGTATCTAACATAGTACCTACCTCGCTTGTTTGTATTGCAATGCAGCTGTGAGTAACTTTAACATCGAACGTGTTCAAATAGTTCCTATTATTGGTTACAAAACTTTATTGAATTGTCACGTAAACTGGATCAAATATTCAGAATAGATTTAGGGGATTTAAATGCAAACATTTAAAGTTGTCACAACTAAAATAATTTATTCGGAGTGTTATTAAAATAAAAGTAAATTTTTAGTAATCATCATCATAATCATCATCATAACAACTCCTATAAGTCCACAGCTGAATACAGAGAACATACTTGAAGCTCTATAAATGTGCCACAAAACACGGTCATCAGACACCTGCATTCATTGACATCTCGCATAAGATAGTGGCGGCCCTGCCAAGTTACTAGTAGGAGGCCACCTACGTCTACCATCGATAAATAATTAATACACGGTATTGCCAACCCTGAAGAGTATGATGGAATGTCACGGTACCAATAAAAACCTTCCTGGTTCTTGGCACTTTCCATAGGAAACACATCAGAATTATGTTGAAATTTTACGCTGGTATTCTGTGTTAGTGGAATTCTTGCAAGCCTTACATCTGTGAACACAAAATGTTGGTTTGCAGATTAGGAAGTAGGATAATTGTCCCAGGATATAATTGACGGTAGATGGGTAACAGCATCTTGCTCATAACAAACAATTCAAAGTAACAAAATAGCTGCGGCTGCCAACCTGCCTACCAAGTGTGGCAAGTATGGCAAACATCCATAGAGATGAAAATGCAGAGAAAATTGACGAGAGATGCTTACAGTAGTGGAATTTAATTATCGATGAGCAGCATCTATACCAGTGACTCACAGCCCAATCTCCTATGTAATGCATGCTTGCTGCCAGATTCTAGACGTTAGCCCAGCAGCGGCCTTCAAAAGGCTGCAAGATGACGTGATTGACTCAGTTTGTATAAATTCACATCCGAGACTACCTCAGATCATATTGCATCAACATTATTTAGTGTATTTGATTAAGGTATCTGCACTTCTGACTCTCTCACACTATAGTGTGTATTTCATGCTAGTCTGCGAGGCTGAAATCGATGAAGAGAAGATTTATCATCGAATTAATCGGCGGTAGGGATTTAAAATATATATCGATGTAATTCAATTTTAAATTACGAATACTATTCTAAGCCAGCTCCTAAGTACAATCCCACTTGATGGTAAGTGGAGATGTAGCGTAAGATGGTGAAGCGCACTGACTTAACAAAAGAATATTCACTCTTGCCTTGAAGACACCCACATTGTAATCGGATGGAAAGGTATACGCTGGCAACTTATTCCACTCCTTTGCTGTACGCATGACGAACGACGTAGCAAATCGTTTGGTTCGAATGCGTGGTAAGTCAACAACGAAAGGGTGGAGACTGGCCGAACGCGTGGTTGTCCTACGGTGGAAGGGAGAGGGCGAAATTATGTTACGCAGTTCCTGTGCAAAGTTGTGCACATTGATATTCATATAAAGGTCCATAAACAAAATAAACAGTTTTGATTTGATTTGATACTTTGATTCAATAATTATTCATCACAGAAGAGAAGCCGCCCCATAGATTGTCTCATCGCTTGAACGTTGTAACTCACGTAAGTTTAAATCGAAAGTCAGTCTGAATTTAATCTTCAATATTAAGTGTGAGCTATCAGTCAGGGAGACAGGTGTCTCCGAGCGAAGAGAGATCGTAATCGAGCCGATAATTGAATTCGAGTAAATACATCAATCAAGATGAATTGTAGTCACGGGCGCGTTTGACAGCGTGTTTTAAATTATCAATGTGTAAGTGACTGTACTTGCTGACGGTAAATCTCTTTAACTAAGGCCGTTTCCTGACTGGTCGATACAACATTGATACGTCCTATATTCGGAATGTAGGCAAATACCTGGCAAATATTTAACGATACACATTTCTTATGCGAAATGTGTAAATGTTTTTGCCAACATAAAAACCTCTTCAACTAAGGCCGTACTAACTGATCGATATAACATTGATACGTTCGACATCTCGACCAAATGTCGGGCACAAAGGGCACATATTAAACGATAAACATTTCTTATGCGTATTGTGTAAATTACTGTACTTGCCAATATTAAAACCTCTTCAACTAAGGCCTTTTACTGACTGGTAGAAACAATTTCGATATGATCCAAAAAGATTTAAATATATATACTATAGAGCGGATATTGGAAACATTTGTACACATTTGAACAACAAAAACTTTGAGCTCGCGCGTGTGTGACGCTTTCTAGCTAATCATCGCAATACTACACTGAATATCTATTAGAAAAACATTTCAGCGATTCGCTGATAGGTGACGCCACAATAAAATATAAAGTAAAAACCTGTTTTAGAACTGTTACCGTTTTGATGTATATATCGATAATGTCGTTAAAAGTTATTAAGTTTGAAATGCTTTACGATATAATAATAGGGAATATGCATGGTTGTTTTATTTTATAAATCTATTTATTATGGCTTTCATCACACGTAAACGTTTTACAATCATGTTAGTGTCCATTAGACACTATAATAATAGCATATGATTGGTCATTTGGCGTCGAAGGCACATCGAGAAACGTCAAATTCAATAAGAGAACTCCTCCATGTTTTGTAATTCGTTCCTTTTACAAAAATACACTTTAAATCTAACATATTTTAGAAAAGCACCGAACTTAAAAGTCGTTACACGGTAAATCATTAAACAAATCATTCACAAGTTTGCGTGTTTACTGCTCAAAAGAATCCCTTTGTATTTCTCTTGTCTTTTTTTGTGTATCTCCTCTATTTCAGGGCTTCTCTTACTACCGCAGCCAGTCGGAATCTTCGGTACCGACATATCTTGCATGGTTACTTGGAATAGAAAGCTAAATTGGTTTCTAAAAAGCTTAGAATATTCAATAAAACGGGACAGTATTTTATGCTGGCACACAGTTTGCAACTTTAGAAGGTGCAGCCTCACACAGTCTCACATGGAATACCGTTCTCATCTTTGGACCGGGGCTACCCAGTGCGAGCTCCTTTCACTTGACCATATAGAGCGCAGAGCGAATCGAATCGTCGACGACTGAGTTATCTTTGATTGGCTCGATTCACTAGCGCTACGTAGAGATATTGCATCCGTTTGTGTTTTCGCGACGCAAGACGCTTGGGATAAAAATTTATAAAAAAATATTTGTTGCTTCTTATTAGTTTACAAGAAGCGCATTGGACGATAGTGTCCAAATGATGATAAAGTACATTTCAATATGAAAATAAACTAGGTACATACTTTGGTAGGTATGTAGTTTATTTTCATGTTGAAAAGTCAGTATACGTCGACTCGAAAGTAAGCATTTATAGGCATAGGTTCAAGTCGTATCATGTTGTACCTCTCTATAATATAATATAGGTATGGCTACACGAGAAGGCTCTTTTTGTGCATCCAATTATTATCTGAAACTATTTTGTAAATAAACGCTGGTTATGGTTTGTTAATTTACCACTGGTTCGCAAAAAAACCTCTGTCCTGGGAAGAACCAGCAAGAAACCCAGCGGGATTTTTTTTTACTGTCAATTACAATATATTTGTATACTACGTAGATGTGTTCAACTATTAGTGAGTTACGAAATAATCCTAAACTTATGAAAGTGCGATCTGCAGCTTGTCGGTAGGCTTGGGTAAAAAAATATCGATATATATATATATATATATATATATATATATATATACGTTGATACTTATTAATCGCGATATATCGATTCAATATTTATCGTGGAGTATCGAATTCGTATCTATTAACTTCGATATATTTTAAACTGCTGCATTAATCTATAAAACATTAAGCAACAAAAGAAGCTACAAAAACATTTATGTGTTGTCGTTTTTTATTCGTCATTCAACCGTCCAGTAATATCATTTTGTGCCTTATCGTACTACGTTATGAAAAACATGACGATATATCGATATTCATCACGTGAATATATCGATACTGTTTAAAATATCGATACGATATATATCGATATAGTTATTCACTTGCCCATCCCTACTCGTCGCTATTGCCACATGAGTAGATAAACGGAATATTGCTAACAGATAGCCGGAGATGCGAGGGACCTTGCCCGCGCGCCGATTACCCGCCCGCGTCTGCTTCACCCTCTTAAAACCTACGTGAACACGATACCATTTCGTCAATACACAATTGGCCATATTTTCATTTTTTTAAATTTAGGGAACGAATGCGTTATGACCTTTTGACGATGTCACTTAGACTAAATGACATATATCCGAAATATATCCCTTAGGATAAAAGTAGCAGATGACCATTTTGTTGATGATGTCCGGTCCATTACTACTACTTAAATAATGTCTTTGATAGGTTCGATATTCCGAGCATAATAAAAATATTATTAGAGATTTATACTTAAATTGTTTGATCTGAAATCGATTTGATTTGAAATCGTCGTAACAACGATACGAAGCGTCGTAGACTTAAATATCATCAGATTCCTGGAGTTCGATCAAGATTGTTACACAACGTACCGATAAGTTGTTAAAAAATAAAACATCTGATGTGCAGATATTCGCATATATTGCTTTACGGTCAAATTTTATGTTAGTGAGGCTGATTGGCAGAATTTTTCCATTCCTTTTACTTGCGAAGAGTCAGTTAAATTTGTTAAATCGACTACCATCTTGCCTCATTTACAATGTGAGTCTCGCAAAGGACGTGGCATAGCAACCGCTTTACTCAATATCACAGACAATATATCTACTCGTATAAGCTGAGCAATACTCCGGTTGCAGTACGATACTCATATATCTATATCGATATATCTATACGATTCATTTATATATATATATATATATATATATATATATATATATATATATATATATATAT